GCGGGAGGCGCAATGGCACCAGGGATGGCAGCGCAGGGGGGACAGGGGAGTGGCAGCACAGAGGGGACATGGGACACAACGGCACCAGGGATGGCAGCACAGGGGGGACACGGGACACACAGGGATGGCAGCGCAGGGGGGACAGGGGGGTGGCAGCACGGAGGGGACACGGGAGGCACAATGGCACCAGGGATGGCAGCGCAGGGGGGACAGGGGAGTGGCAGCACAGAGGGGACATGGGACACAACGGCACCAGGGATGGCAGCACAGGGGGGACACGGGACACACAGGGATGGCAGCGCAGGGGGGACAGGGGGGTGGCAGCACGGAGGGGACACGGGAGGCACAATGGCACCAGGGATGGCAGCGCAGGGGGGACAGGGGAGTGGCAGCACAGAGGGGACATGGGACACAACGGCACCAGGGATGGCAGCACAGGGGGGACACGGGACACACAGGGATGGCAGCGCAGGGGGGACAGGGGGGTGGCAGCACGGAGGGGACACGGGAGGCACAATGGCACCAGGGATGGCAGCGCAGGGGGGACAGGGGAGTGGCAGCACAGAGGGGACATGGGACACAACGGCACCAGGGATGGCAGCACAGGGGGGACACGGGACACACAGGGATGGCAGCGCAGGGGGGACAGGGGGGTGGCAGCACGGAGGGGACACGGGAGGCACAATGGCACCAGGGATGGCAGCGCAGGGGGGACAGGGGAGTGGCAGCACAGAGCAGTGCATGGGGACACAGGAGGCGGGGACACGGGGTATCAGGGATGGCAGCGCAGGGGGGACACAGGACACAATGGCCCCAGGGATGGCAGCGCAGGGGGGACACGGGACACAGGGATGGCAGCACAGGGGGGACACGGGGTATTGGGGATGGCAGTGCACGGGGACACAGGACAATGGCCCCAGGGATGGCAGCACAGGGAGGACACAGGAGGCACAGGACAACGGCACCAGGGATGGCAGAGCACAGGGGACACGGGACACATAGGGATGGTAGCGCAGGGGGACACGGGGGTGGCAGCACAGAGGGGACACGGGAGGCACAATGGCACCAGGGATAGCAGCACACAGGGGACAGGGGGGTGGCAGCACAGAGGGGACATGGGACACACAGGGATAGCAGCACAGGGGGGACATGGGACACAATGGCACCAGGGATGGCAGCACGGAGGGGACACGGGGTATTGGGCATGGCAGTGCATGGGGACACAGGAGGCACAGGACAATGGCACCAGGGATGGCAGCGCAGGGGGGACACAGGACAATAGCAGCATGGATGGCAGCACACGAGGACACTGCCCCCAGGGCACAGGACAGCAGGGATGGCAGCACATGGGGGACATGGAGCACCAGGGATGGCAGCACATGGGGGACATGGGACACAGGGATGGCATGATACAGGGGACACAATGGCACCAGGGATGGCAGGACACAGGGGGCACAGGCACGTGGCACATTGCACACCCAGCGCTGGGCACACATAGGTCCAGCTGTGCCAGCATCCAGAACACTGGGGACTCAGGGGACAGCAGCACCTGGGACACCAGGCACCCAGGACACCGGGCACTGCTGGCTTAAGGGACACATGGCACAGGGCAGGACACGGGGGACGTGGGCCATAGCAGGGAAAGGGGTGCACAAGACACTGGGCATGGGGAGGGGTGGTACAAGGGACATGGGGCACCAGGGATGGCAGCACCCAGGGGACACGGGGCAATGGGGGTGGCAGCACCTGGGACCACACTTACGGGACACTGCACACCCAGCAGCAGGCACACACGGCCCCTGCTGTGCCAGCTCCAGGCACACGGGACCCTGGGGATGGTAGCGCATGGGACAAGAGGCACATGGGACACCGGACACCCATGGCTCTGGGGACATGGGACAACAGACACACAGGCAGGCAGGAGGCAGGGCTCTGGGGATGGCAGCACACCAAACACAAGGTGCCCTGGGGCACACAGCGTGCACGCCCAGTACCGCGCACACCAGGGTATCCCAATGCCAAGCACGGGGCACGTGCCACACACCAGGTGTGACAAAACACCGGCCACACCAACACCAGGGGCGGGCAAGGGACACCACGCACAGCAGGTACCACGTGCATCGACCCCGGCACCGTGCGTGCCAACACACAGCTCCCCACGGGGGACATCGGGCACAGGGCACCGCGCACAGCCAGGAAAGCTGGCACCGGAGTCATCCTCATGTGGCCGTTGCGTAGGGCCGGGCTGGGCACCGCGATGGCTTCATCCGGTGTCGGCAGCGCAACCCCGCGGCACTTCCCCCTTCGCTCGGCGTTGGCACTGCGGGACTTGCGCCCAGACCTTGGACTCCGGCACCGCGACGCAGCCGCGGTGCGCCCACGGCTGGAAACGGCGCCTGCCTCCATTCCCGCAGGCCACGCTCAGCACAGCCCTCGCCTCCAAGGAACCGAACGATCAGCCGAAGCGACCCAGGCAAGGGAAATGAGGGAAGGGATTCAGCCCCCATGGGAAATGCCGAATGCGTCCTGGTGATTCATCCTGGGGGTTTTTTTTTTTTGGTTTGGTGGGGTTTTTTTTTCCCCAGTAAGGACTGACTGGGGTCTCTCCCTTGGGAAAGCTGAGCACAAACACCCTTAGGCACAGGCTACTGGGCCAGGATGCTGCTCAGCCCTTCCTTCCAAGCCAGAAATACAAGTCACCCCTGCCTCAAGGCCTTTTACGAAGGGAACAAGGAAGCAAATATCCCAAAGTCTCACAAATCTTGGCAGAGAAAAACATCGTCCCGTCTGCAGGCCCAATCTCGATCTTTATTAGTTACAGTGTCAGAGGGGATACAGCTTTGCTTCTAGATCTTGTTGAAAGCGGCAATGTCAACGCTCTGCACCTGAAAGAGAACAAAAGCAGCAGCCAGAGGTCACCCGAGGTGTT